TGAACTTCCAAGGTTGAGTCTTTCATTTCTGAAGTGGAAGGAAGAGATTCCTAGAAAACAAAAATTCAAGAAAAAAAAGTAAGCAACCATGATGACATTACTAAAAACTTGATCCCTGTGATCTCAAAGGAAAACACTTTATTCACTGTTCAATTAACAACAACACTGAATGGAGCAGAATCCTCAATAAAAGGGAGCTTGACACAAACGATGAAAGGCAGGTTATTGTTCTTTGTTAGTGGTTATTGTTATCACTTCCATGATCACCACACTGGCTGGTCATCAGTTGATAATAATTTTGAGGTGAACACTGGCGCACACTCCATCTACATGTAAACTGTGAATGTACTGGGCAATTCAACATGAGACATTGAAAAATCAAACATTTCAAATTCCAATTTCCCTTATTGAAACTTATACCAGCAGATAGCTGACACACTGGACTGTTTGAAATAACCAACTTTTTGAGCATCTTGACCATGCCAACCTGCTGAGAGACCACAGAATTATGGGGCTATGAATAATTACCCATCTACTTGCTTCTTTCTCAGAAAAATAGTTTTTAATTTGTGTTGCGGACATTACGTAATGTCCGCAACTTTGAAGCTTTTTTCATTACTTTTTGAAAATTATTTACACCACTTTTAAGCAAGAATTATGCCGCTCTTTTGGTTTGATGTCAATATTATTCTGGCCTGATAGGTTTTCTCTGCTTGGAAATAAGAGGGTAAAAGTGCAGACATTACATTGCTAGAATAATTTTTCTTGATTCACAGGAAATTCAAGTTTAGAGAAGTCACTTGAACATGAGGCTGTTTTCTGTTGTAATGCTTGCAACACACCTTCCTAAATTAATTGCTGAAAGATATTGAGAGCAAATATATTTTTTGTGTATGTGTGGACAAACATTAAGGGTTGCTAGAGTAAATTAATGTTTGAGCACTTCAGTTAGCTTTATGAAGATTTGATAAAATATCATAATTCCAATTTTTGCCTCTCGATGTTATGTAATGTCCACAATGTGGAATCACCCACTGTAGATGTTGACAGATGTTTAGTTACAGGTTGAATCAAGTTAAATTTGTTGAATTCTTCTTTTAAATTTCATCACTTAGTATTTATGGGAACTTTACCTGGAAACACAGAATTAATTAAATTACATTTTTAACAAATTTACACCATTAAGGACAGAATTCAACAGGTAATCCGTACAATGTACATATAAAGACTAGTTATGTAACACTCTCTTGTGGTACACCATGGATTATCTCATGAGTCACTTGTACTTCCTTGGTATACGCCCAAGCCTTTAGTGAGACATGGTATATTACTACATGTAGTATACCACTCAAATGCATTTCATAACTAGTATTAATTTAATTTATAAGTACCAAATAATTTATTAATTTGGAATTTGAACAGTAGAGGAGTACATTTGCACATGCATTACATATTTTGGCCCCTCGCAGGTTTCTGGTACGGCACAAAAGTACAACTGTACATTGCCACTCTTTGCTCTTTTCTAATAAAAATCGCTTTCATGTACACATGTGCGGTCTACAGTGGTACAAATAAGTAGACAAGTTGAGGGCAGTATAGACTAGACACCAGTAACACTAGCAAATCCCATAAGGTGTTGAAATCCTACCAACTGAGAACCATCCACGGATTATAATGAACCACATTACTGTACAGGCAGTCAGTTGCAAGTCCACAATGCATATTATACACTGTACATGTATATACGTGAAACTATTTGGTATAAAAGCCAATACTTCAGGACCACTTGAGATAAGTGAACCAAAATTCACAGTAAAGTGCATTAAAGGAACACATTAGTATACATGTATATGTATGAGCTTGGTTATTGTTCGCTGCTTTTGTTACGTTGTGAAAGGAAATGATAAATCTGTGTTCATACCTCAGTATTAATTTTAGGAGCATTGGCTTTAAGTTGACAAAGTTCATTCTCAACCTTGCAACGTTGTTCTCTCTCTTGCTCAAGGTTTGTTTGAAGTTCCTTGAGTTTGCTCTCTTGGCCAGACTGACATTCGACTTCTGAATCTGACCCAGATGAACTTGTTTTTGCTCTTGAATTTGGCTCCTCTCCAAGGCTTTTCAATTGATTTTCTAATACCCTCACTTGCTCTCTATGACCTAACATGATAAAATAACAAGAAAATTAATATGTTATTTAAATGTATCTTTTAATATATCAATTTTACATCAAGGGCAGAGAAAGGGTCAGAAAGATATAAAGGCCTGACTAAACTAAGAAACAATCTTGAGGGAACATTTTACAGCTTGGGAAGTGGTAATCCTAGTTTACCCACATAGGACAAATGCGAACCATCCACAGATTATAATGAGCCACATCACTGTACATGTACAGGTAAGTCCACAACACATGTTATACACTGTTTAGAAAACAGTCCTAAGAAAATATGCGTGCTAATTAGTTAAAAATCGTGTTTCTATAACTCAATAAAAACACAGAACTGGCACAAGCTGTTGACGTAACAATGGCGCGAGCAGAGGGAACTTACACTTTTGATAATCAAAGTTAACAAGTTGTTTTGAACCTTTTTTTCATCGCAGTGTTTTCTAAAAGAAATAGGAAACATGTTCCCCACGTTTCCATTGAGTTTTAGTATAAATCTACTAGCGTTCTATCACAAATGCCATTCTATGATTGGCTACGCCATTCACTATCTATTCCGTGATAGATACATGTATGTGAGTAGCGTAGCAGTGTGCCCTTATAAGAAAAGTGATAGCCTCTTATTGGCGTTTTCGAAGTGTCTATGAAGAGGATTTAGATAAAGTTTTGAACAACTTTAAACACCAAGTACATGCAATTTACAAGCAATATTTTCTTTCCACCAGCTGCACAAGTCTTTTAGCTGAAAGATGTTGGTAACTTTATATGCACCTGTGTTGTAAACATCATTGCAATATAGTGTTTTTGCTTCAGTTACAAAACATTTACATGTAACCATGCTGGATAGAAATTTTCCTTTTAAAAGATACAAATGTCTCTACAAAGTCACATTTCTGAGCAATACTGGTCAAAATAAATGCTTCCTAGCAATAGGCATGGTTGCCAGACCTCACTTTTCTAAATTCCCTGTCACTTTTTCCTGACTTTGCCTGGATAAAAATCAAATTTCCCTGATCAAATAAATATAAAATGTCAGATCTAGTAGCATCTTCTGGTCTCAACTTATACAATGTAGCTGTCCTTTCCGCCCATTCATGAAGACTCATGAAGTTTTCAACAAATTGTCCTTCTTCATTAAGGAAAAATATCATTGAGATCACAGTGACCCCAAATGTTTCATCCAGCTCCCAATGGTATTAAATCACCTGTGTTATTATTATTTCAATTTTCCCTGACTTTTCTTCAAAATGACAATTTTTCTTGACTCTAAGTACAATTCCCTGACTTTTCCCTGACCTTGAAGAATTTTTTCCCCTGACCATTTCCTGGCCTGTACCAACCATGATAGAGTGTCATTATGGGCACGCATGACCCTTTGCTTCTGAGATAATATTTCCTTCTTCCTTACTTACTGCCAATACACCCAAGAAACATGAGAAATTATGATTTTGCAATAATGTTTCTTAGTTTAGTCAGGCCTTAATGCTGAAAAAAAGGTGAATACAATGACTGTTCAGTCAAAGCCACGGGTGTCTAGAAGACCTGAATGTTAGCAAATAATGCACAGAGAATAATCGAAATAGTCACAGTTAACCTGAAAAGCACTTTGGTCAGTCTAAATTACACGTAGGTTCTGATTTGTGTAAATCAAGATTCATTTAGCCTACACAGAATTCCAATCGGTCTTAATTGCAACCCAGTTAGCCTAAAATCGATGAAGAAAAAAAGTTGTGAGTTCAATTGTTATTGATTGCTAATAGTGATTGATAACGGTTGATTCATATTGGTTTTTGTACTTTTACAAGTTACCCTGATAAAATGATTGACAAAATTTGTCTGTAATGGTTCTATTGGGTTGTTTTATATTCATAGCCTCCGTATCTTTTAGAAACTTCCAGTCTCATAATTTCTAGCATCGGAATTTAGATGAAGCAAAATAAACAACATACATGGAATCAGTGTTCAAGTGGTTTCAATTATTTGCATTTTTTTAAAATCAATAACAATCTTTATTATCCAACTGCAGCGAATACCAACCAAATAACAGTACAAATATACAGCGATATTGTACAGTTACTTGTACAGTAGAAAACCTGTTTGCCATACAGGTCGGCATGCACATGCAAAACTGTCACACTCTCCATCTTTCATTGATAAATTTACGGGCTCGTCAAAATACGGCACAACCCGTAAAAATACAAAGCAATACTACACACCAAAACATCTCATAAGAGATATATATTCCTGAAGACAGGAATTAGCGATTGTTAGCAATTTTTGTCCATCGATAGCAATCGGTTAAAAAAAAATTTCTGTGTTTGTTATTGAAGAATCGATTGATTTCTGAGATTGATTTTTATCAACTGCGCATGGCCAGTAGCCACAGCTCATCCAGCCNAAAATCGATGAAGAAAAAAAGTTGTGAGTTCAATTGTTATCGATCGCTAATAGTGATTGATAACGGTTGATTCATCAATTGATATTGGTTTCTGTACTTTTACAAGTTACCCTGATAAAATGATTGACAAAATTTGTCTGTAATGGTTCTATTGGGTTATTTTATATTCATAGCCTGCGTATGTTTTAGAACCTTCCGGTCTCATAATTTGTAGCATCTGAATTTAGATGAAGCAAAATAAACAACATACATGGAATCAGTGTTTAAGTGGTTTCAATTATTTGCATTTTTTTTAAATCAATAACAATCTTTATTATCCAACTGCAGCGAATACCAGCCAAATAACAGTACAAATATACAGCGATATTGTATAGTTACTTGTACAGTAGAAAACCTGTTTGCCATACAGGTCAGCGTGCACATGCAAAACTGTCACACTCTCCATCTTTCATTGATAAATTTATGGGCTCGTCAAAATACGGCACAGCCCGTAAAAATATAGAGCAATACTACACACCAAAACATCTCATAAGAGATATATATTCCTGAAGACAGGAATTAGCAATTGTTAGCAATTTTTGTCCACCGATAGCAATCGGTTAAAAAAAAATTTCTGTGTTTGTTATTGAAGAATCGATTGATTTCTGATATTGATTTTTATCGACTGCGCATGGCCAGTAGCCACAGCTCATCCAGCCGACGATCAACTTAACCTTTTCAGCATAATCAGTGAAATAACATAGCACCATGAGATACATGTGCAGTAGGCGAGGGTACAACAGTTACTTATCACAGGAAGACAAGGAAGCAGCAATACAGGGCTGCTTACATGGGGCAAGTTCCAGTATTGTTTGATTTTCATATTCACCTTGTCTTTGTAACATAAGCTATACTAATATAGAAATAATTGTAGTTACATGTTGTGTTTTCACTATGCAGATCATGAGGGCAATGAAAACCTTTCCCTGGTCTTGGGCCAAGCTTAACCACAGTGGAGCGTTCAGGGGAAATCAATTTGATGCCACGCTTATTGGCAATCACAATTAATGGCGGGCTTGTAAAAAAACTGTCTTCAAACGAGCTATCTCATCATACATGAAACAACGATCATCTTAAGCTTACTACATAAAATATCAAGTTAACCACGGACGGGAAAAAATGGTTAGAACGATCGTTGTAAACAGCCCCCAGTAATCGCTAAAGAGAACATAGATCTGAAAAGAAAAGCTCAGCTTACCTGCTACCTGTCTCTGTAAAAGGTTGTTAGCTTCTTTCAGTTTAGAGAAATCAGCTGCTTGCTTTTCAAATTTTGACGCAAGTTGATTTTGATCGTGCTGTAGATGATCTAGATCGTTCTTTAGCTGCAAATTGCTGGCAGTTTCAGCTTCCAGCATCTGCTGACAGCGAGAAAGCTTTCCATCGAGGCAACGAATCTGTCCTTCCTTGGCGTTCAAATCGTGTAAATTCTTCTCCCGGCTTCGCTCTAACTCTTGAATAGATTCACTCAGGGAATGATTTTCCTTCTTGAAAGACAAAGCATTCGCTTTCTCGTCTTCTGTCAGCTTTTTCTGCTTTGCGAGAGCAGCCTGTAGACTCTCCATTTGAAACTGCCGCTGCTTGCTCTCTTTCTGCAACGTTTCACATCGCTGCTCGAGATCAAAGACATTTTTAAGAACGTTCGCAGTTAATCCCTGCTTCCATTCTTCCTTTGCCCAACTCATCGCGGAAAACAGCTTCCAACGTCGTGAAGAATCAGAGATTGAAGTTGGTGTGTCGACTAAATTCCCGCCATAAATCTAAAATCCTCCGCAGAACCAGTAACAGAACACATCGAATGACTCGATCGATCGCGTACTTCTTGCATACATTGAGTGGCAGTTAGCCTTCAAACCGAGGTCGTTCGCGATTGTGATTGGTCAATTGAACAAAAGGTGGGAAATTTAAAGTGAGGCGGCCATGTTGAACGACACAAACAAAAGAAGCTACCATAATATTTTTTTTCCATTTCTGAGATCTGAGAAAAGACAAAATTAATTATCCGCAAATATTTTTTCCACTAACTGCAGTCCTCTACAAGACTAACGCGGTAACAAAAGGAAAACGACAGTTGAATACGAAGGGATAATTAACAATTACACCCGTAGCCCGCAAGGGCTACGGGTCAATAGCCCATGAGGCGAAGCCTCATGGGCTATTGACCCGTGGCCCTTGA